GTGAATCAAGAGGTAGATGAGTGACGAGTAAATCAAGGAATCCGCGCTGTATAAGTATTTGAGGGTCTGAAAGGCCAGATTCGAAGCAACGGATTAGTAGACCTGGCTCCGGGGATGTGGCTGCCTCTGCTTCGACGGATAGGGTCTCGGGAGGCATTGAAGTATCTTGTGGAGAGTTTCGACGACCCGGACTCCCGAACTTGGGCAAGTGACGCGTGAGAAATGCAAGCGCGCCTTGTCGTCTAGATGCATTTGTGATGGTAGCGAGGAAGAAACACTGCCAGAAATGCGACGAGCCACTAGTTGTCCTCGATTCAGTTGCTTCGTTTGAGGTTTCCTGGAAAGAATTGCGCAGCTTCTCAGTCGCTGACACCATGCGCTCAAAGTCCTCGCTGGTCTCATCCTCTAGACCGGGAAGCAGCGAGAGAATAATGGCCTTCAAGGCTGGTCGAAGGGCAGCTCCGTCGAGCTTCAAGATGTGCGTTTCGAAGAGAGATAGATAGAGCGGGCGGACCGAAAGCGAGGCAAAGGATAGTACAGAGGCAAGGCCGGGAAAATAAAGGCTCAGATCACGGGCGAGGGCGTCTTTCTGGGCATGGGTCAGCATCTGCCAACCTGACCTGCAGGGGTGTGGAATGGGCATACACTAATGGTAGAGAAAATATAGTCATAGACTTCGAGGGCTTTCTGGTGGACGCCCGAGGGCAATGTTGGATTCAAACACTGCGCTAATCGCAGTGCGACTGTATCGCTATGGGGGATAACGGGTATCTCTGAAGGGTGCGCTTGCAGGGCCTGGACGGGACACATGATAAGCGCTGTGATTCATATTCGCGGTGGTACGGCAGTATTGACCTTGAGCAGCCTGGCAAGGAAAGAAATATAGTCGGCCCATTCCTGCTGGGCAGTGTCCCAAAGGGCGAGGGCGCGCTCAACACCAGCGGCATATCGTCGGAATCCCTTGTCTTTTTTGTACAAAGCTGCCCAGGCCAGGTTAGTCATGCGTAGTGAAGCAGATTGGTAGGAACAGAAACCTACGCTCTTCAACGACATTGCGCGAAGCCCGGGGGACAGGACTGGAGCGGCCGGAGCCTGTAGGTGAGAAGATGTGTAGGTTAGTAGCAGAATCAGCGGCCATATTTTGTGCGGCGGTTGGTGTGTTTTCTGTAGGTGGATGACAGATTACGGAACATGCTGTACCGGATGGTAGAGCTGGGTGGGATACAGTCAATGGCTGCCTACGCGGTGAAGTCAAGTATCTGTCCACGTCTTGCCATTGTCGCAACCCGACACGCAGCACTTCGCCAAAGCTCGGACCGCCTGCCCACGAAGTGCGACATGGGCTTTCACATGCGACGCTGTTATGACGCGCGCCACACGCGACCTCCGCCACTCCACCACCATTATCATCACCACCGCCATGACGCCTGGGCAGACGGCCAGCTAACCTCTGTGGCTAATGTATCATGCACGACGCAGTGTCGGTACGTTCTGGAAGACGGCCACACATACAATGCGAGGCTAACCATGGCAGGCCTCATACGATCCACCATCTACCCCACCTGGAGTAGATGCATCCAACCACCATGACGACGACGACCCTCACGAACCGCCTTTACACCTATTACTTGACGAATCTCCACATCACGACGAGCCACCACCCTCCTACGACGATGCTATTGCGACGAGCGGTGCGCCGCCAGACTATGGCACCTTTAGCCACTTCCTTGATGAGTCGTCTATAACCAGCAGCGACATAGGCCCTACAGATCGCGCATTACCTGAATGGCTCGGACAGTTGCTAGTCGTCTTTGTCTTCCTATGTCTCATATATGGATTTTGGCGATTCGTCCACAGTGACGACATGCCTGATGGGGGATGGCCTCGTTTTGGACCACCGTCTACCTGAGAGAGGATACAGTGCAGGATACCACAAGATACGACATGTCTGTCTTTGGGGCGCATATAAGAGCTATTGATCCCTACGAACTGGTACAGGACGACAAGCCGCGCAACACAGCGACCAACTGGTAGGATCTTCACGGTCGTACGACCCAAATATGAGTGGTAGGGGATGCAAGTGAGCAACCAGAGGGCCTTCAATTTTTGGGAAAACTACCGCTTTCGCAATCCGTACGGGCCATGGCCAGACTTCAGCTATCAGGAATTCAGTTTTAGGCAACTCGAGATTCAAGAGACAAAAATGGGAAATGGTAGAAAGAAAGCGGTGAGCAGTGTCATCATAGAGCTAAAACATTCAGCTAAACATCAGAACTTGGATCATGCAAGGCACAAAGAAATAGCCGTTTCTCATTGTTGGGCCCATCCGACCAGCATCCTCAACCAAAATTACATCGTCTCTTACATAGCACATTGATAATGCTCTTTTCATCATGCAGAAGTCTCCTCACAAACCCGCACATCACATATCACCCCATGGCACACACAAATCAACCCCCTTCCTTGCATCGGCCTTTTGAAATCTCCGTTAAAACCCCCAAACTCCGTTCCATGACATAATCAGCCAACGCCCACTTATGCCGTTAACCCCGTTTCTCCCAGCTTTGGCACGCACGCTCCCACCGCCACAGAAACCCAACCCACCTCCCCGAGCGCGTCCGCTGATCTCGCTCTGCCCGAACCGCGATCGACAACCAAAAAAAAACCAAAGGAAATAACTTACTACTATGCACATACCGGGAATATATAGTATAGTATACGAAATTTACGCACTTTTTTCCCCTTTTGGACATGTCTGTGTTTGCCCGCACCGGCTTACGCCCGTTTGGCGCAGCAGCAAAACAACCACCGAACCACAAAGGGCCCATGCATACTCTCTTTAACCTTCAAGGTACGTACCCGACAAGAAATCTGGGTGACCCACTCCACCGGTCACCCATTGCTGCGCTCAGTCCACAGCCCGCCGCACCGCGCGCGCGCCAGGGCCAGTGGCGCCCCGACCCCTGGCCTTTTTCAGGCGGTGATGTAGCAAAGAAAGTTTATTTTCGGGCATGGAAAACCCGTATCTCTGTTTTTGAACGGAAAACTGGCTTGGCGGATGGTGGGGCTTACAAAGCGAGGGGGGAAGAAATGGGAAAGAAGGGGGAGTTAGCTAGGTAGGTAGAATGGGTGGGATTGACTTGTGCACGTCCATTTGACTTGCTTGCTTAATGCTAGGGCCCAAAGTTTCCAAAGTACGAGAAAGGCTTTGTGAGGTTCACGCGTTCCCGATCACGTGTTCGCGCGCTTGTCAAGTACAAGCATGTTTGTTGTTCTCTTTTCTAGTCGACGACGGCAAGAAAAAACTTGGGTTGGGCTTGTCTTGTCGTCTTTGTGCATTATCCGAAGGGTAAGGGGATTTTGTTGTTAGGGGTCGGTCCGACTTGGGGTAACACGTCGGGCGTAACCCCTACCCGTTCCCCTGGCTTGGGGAGAGGGGGAGGAGGTAAGAGAATCCGATCGCTATTACAGAGTCGCTTGTTATTACCGCTGTAGGGATAGCGTTAATATGGTTTACTGGATTGGGGCAAGACTCTGGTTTTGCTTGGTTTGGTTGCTTGTTTGCTTGGTTGCTTGGGAAGTCAGCATCTAATCGTATGCTTTGTTCATGCGTTTGCGATTAAACCTTTTCGTTGAGGTTGTTTGGAGGCTAAGCTACAAGTTTGTGGTAATTTCCTTTTTGGCGTTTTTTTTCTTTGTGCCGCTCAGCGAGGTACTCCCGCTTTTCGTGTTCTTTCGCCCCGTGTGAGTAAGACTTGCATGTAATCATGCAAAAGGGCGCAAGGCACGAGCTGAACAAGTGGTCCGGAAAATTACTTGATTTGGAAGGATGAATACTATACATAGACCTCTTTGCAGCCCGCAAGGTCGTTAGGTGCGAACCGTTTGACGGGCCGAAAACAAGAGGTCTTGGCAGTGATTTGGCCTACGGGCGTAGCAGGACGTTGCGGGTGGTTGTGTGAATGAGGAAGGGGGGCCAGCGGTATGTAATTTCATCTGCCCTTGTGTATGAGATTTGTATATTTTGGTGTAACCGAGCAGAATTATATGCAGGGTATCCGACTAAGCATACATACCATGTGCACTTGCACCCTTTGATGAACCAGAAAAGCTAGGTTAAGCGAACGGCGACGACGAGCATGAGTCGCAAGTTGAATAGCAAGACAGCAGCTTTGCGCAGTCCCAAATAATGCACATTGGCTGTCACATCAAAGGTGCTGACGTCGTCGAGGCTAGTTAAGCCTTCTCGACATGGGAGTAATCTACCCCCAGCGCCCCGACCTCCGATACTCCGATGTTCCGAGGACAGCTCGTCTACATCGTATTACTCTCTCGATGTGTACAACAGCCTAGACACCTTCCGACCCTGCCCATGACCAGGTTCATATTTTGCACATCAAAAACAAGGAAAAGTCAGACACGTGCCGAAAATAATCATGCCATTTGGCCCAATATGAAAACAAAATCTTAGGTTCCAGACCAATGAATAATTTAAACTCGCGAGGAAGCAAGCATCCGAACGGTCAAAAAAATACAGTGACAACTCGCCGTAAGAAAGATGAGCCAGATTAGGCACATGTCCGCGAAAGCAAGAAAAAAACTTGACGCACACTTTGCGAAGAGCTAAACGTCACGAGTAAAAGAAAACGGAACATGCCGAAAAGGACATCGACGAGGACAAGTAACAAACCACCAAAAAATGCACATTGTGTTGGGTTCAACACCAATAGAATAATATTCCCCACATTTGCCCGCTTACCCCTGCATCACAGTGCTGTCCCCTTCTCTCAGCACACACACGCTCACACCCCCATGTCGCGCATATGCCGCAGTGCCGCTTTTACTCAACCGACCCTAGCAGCCAAAAGGGTTGCGGCGCGGACAGACGACAGGGGGCAGTTAGCAAGGGGGTGGGGGGAAGAAAGAAGGGAAAACCCAGGGCCCCACCGACGCAAAGGTAGCGCATTATACCTTATCGGCGCTAGATCGATGTTCAATCTCGCAGCATCAAGCCTATCTGGGTAAATTTCGCGGCGTCGCGTGCGATGGAGCAAGGGGTGGGGAAAAAAGGTTGTTGTGTGGGCGGGGATGGGGGGCTGGAAACTGGGTTTGTCTGTGCGTTGCCCGCTGAGCTCTGCTCTCTTCTTCTTCTTGTGGACAGGGGGTGGGAGAGATAGGATAACTCTTTTTGGACCCCACGACTGGCGGGGCTAGGGTGCTGGCGCGATCCCGACCGTTGGATTTAGCCCCGTGACGCGCTCGGGCTGGGTTTACTACTCGTTGCTTGCGGCTTGTTTTTTTGCTGTTGCTGCACGCCATGGCTTGAATGGGGATATCAAGGGAGGGATTGTATTTTTGGCTCTGAGGAAATCCTACAGGAAGGGCCGGTATACAGTGGGATGGATTGTGCAGCGGTGTGGCTGTCCCGGCGCAGAGGTGCGGTGTTGCCGTTTCAAGGTCACGTGCCTATCCGTCGCATGATGATGGCGTTTTAGGAAATTTCTACCAAATGCACCTTCTATTGCCTTTTGCGAGAGCAATATGGGTTTGTGTGTATTGTTGTTCTTGTTGCTCGTATACCAAGTCCCCTTTGTCGTTTTCTTTACCTTTTTTGCGCATTTTGAACAAGTCACAAGCTCCGAGGATTGTCTCTCTTCTTTAAACCTGCTTCTTTGTGCGATGATGGAATCGTACTTTCTTTCTGTAATATCATCAACCATGTACTGTACCTGCATGATATGCGTTCCCCATCTTCATTGGCTCTTCCACGGCTTATTTTCTACAAACTCCTCAATGATCCTTTGCTGCATGTCGAAAATACCCAAAGTGAATTCTGGTTGTACGCATCAACATCTTGTGAGTATTTCCACGACGCCGGGGATTATCCATTATCCGTGTTGTCGCCCATAAAAGTGGAAAACAAAGGTTTCGATATGGAAAAAGCCGACAAAAAACCAGTTACACAGTCGTCATCTAGTCTCCTTTGGCTTTTCCTAATGAACCCTTGAATAAGAAATGCACTATACAAATCAAATCCACATGAGACTGATTGATTCGGCTTGTCAAGCCGGGTGATTGCAATAAAGACGCTAAACGACCCGTCGACTAAAGTTAAAAGTTCAGCCATCTTGAAATTCATGTGTTTGCGCGATGCAATGTTGGACACATCGTCTGATGGCTCGCTCTAGCGGTTGGATGCAGCGCAGGGTTCATGCCTGTGTTTGCATGTGCAGTCTTGACAGCAAAGCCATTCACAAGACTGCATGTAGCGCCCTTCGGGTTCGGCAATGTTGGGCTGGGAAGTAAGTGCGCGCAAAATACGCAATTTTTTTCAAATACATGCATCGTGAAGCGGGTCGGAGGTATTTTTGAACGTTCCAGGTGTCTGAAGCTGATTTCACTTTGCACCTTCCTTTGTGGTCAAGATGCAGATTGTCAGTGCACATGTTTTGCCGTGTGCGGCACTAGGCTCTCCTTTGCGGAAGTTAGTCAACCCTCCGCCGTAGTAGGCTGGGCGAAAATTGTTCGAGGTTTGCATTCAGGAACAAAGTGCCCTTCTTTTCCGTACCGCTAAGGGATGTTCCGCGCCACGTATCCACTACAGCTTGGCGGCTTGCAGTGAGCGGAATCAGACTAGTATGAAGCTGGAACCCGAGCGGACCTATCAGATGGAAGCGTCGCGAGTCAAGCAGTCAAGTACGTCGTTCGACCAACTTTCCTAAACAACGTTAAGACGACGGAGACTATGGACACCATGCGAACTTCGGATCTAGCCAAGAACCCAAATGGGACTGTTCGAGTCATCTCCATCATTATATCCGGATGTTTGCAGCGCAAAATGGTGACAGTAGAGGCATTGTGGATTCTGGGTGGCCCCTCTTGGTGAAGATGGGCAAAGGCCTGGCCGCCATGACGATCGGTCGGGACAGCGGTCGGCCGTTGATTGAGTAGACTCTGGTGGTTATCTCGTTGTGGTGACCAGAATAGGACATATGAAACTTGTTCATTCCCCATGATCATAAAAGTGGTCCGCTGAGTCGGCGATATTGTTGATGGAGGCATGCACGGTGCAGCAGCCGCAATGTTTTCCCAAACCCGTTGATCATCCTCAGGGTTCTTGCTATGGCAACCCCATATCCATGCACGGTCGACGTATTTATGGGTTGAATATATCTACGGGTGGCTGATTGGATTGATTAATGGGCCGAAAAGATGCAGATGATGGGATTTGGCGATGGTGCAGTGTGGAGACAGAGACGCCCTCCACATGACGAAGGTTTGCAGTTGCGGCCGGGTGGCTGCTTGTACCCCTCTGGCGTCACGCATCATCTGCTTCAGCAACAGTGAAACTTGTTGGGATTGGACTGGACTGTGAAAGCAATGAAACGCGAGACGAGGGAGGAAGGTATACAAGCCAGCTATGACGACAAGTCTGGGACGGGTCCCGGGGACCACGGGAGGCGGATAGGACAGCGCAGAGGGGGACAGAAATGAGGATTCGAGTAGCGCGACCCGGATCTACTGTACCCAGCATGTGGATAGGCTACTGGAGAAGAGCGGAGTTGCCTCTAGACCGCATCGGACCGGACCCATGTGGACTGCCTTCACCGGTATACGACAGGGGTAATAATGGCCATGTAGGGGTCGTGTACGAGATGACGAGTGAGGAAGCGAAGCCTGCAGACAGCCACCTCGTGGCGGCACAGCTAAGACGCCCAAGATCTCATCAAGCGAATCCGCAATCACGGTTTGCGACCCGTCAGCGGTTGGCCATGTTGTGCCGTCACGGTGGACAGGGCATGGTTGGCTGCTTAACGGGCGCATCAAACGGCGCAGTGACAAGGTCGCAGCATTGCCGCTCGGAACGACGACATGCCGCCACCTGTCAGCTCGTATGTAGGTGTACATGTTCAGATGGTACATAGTAGTAGGCCGCGGCAAAGTCATCACCGTGACCTCGACACTATCGAGCCTTAGCCGCCCCCCAATGGTCTTGTTGTTTGTGCACACTGGTGCACTAGCGCGAGCATGTGTTGGAGGAAAATAGCAACTCGCGCTGCCGCAAGCGAGTTTTGATTCGATGCCGACTCGGCCTTTGCCGTGTCGTTGCCCCCAAAGACAGCAAAGCTCGCGGCATGGAACCGCTTGGGTGTCGCTGTCTGCAGCCGCATACGTGATGGGACCATGGCCCCGAGTTCGAGTTGACAGCGCTCGTCCAGCGCAGTGTTCATGTCTTGTTACATTGACGTGCAGGTGTCATGTCTGACTGTATACATCCACGCTTGCATTCGACATGTACACGATGCCGTGCATGTCAGTCCCCAGAGGCCATGGAAACGGCTTGCATCGATGACAAGAGCCACAGCCGGCGACTTGGATTGCAGCCGCATATCGCATCGCATCGCCCGTGTTTCCGGGTAGGGCCATGTCGTGCCCCGGCATTGCCGCAGCGACTCGACAAGGTTCTGGCTACCAAAGAGGGCGGTGCCGTGGGTGCAACTCGATCAGTGTTTGGGTGGTGGGACGGAGCACGACGCTCACAGCTCGCTAGCAGTCATTACGCAAACGAGGCAATGGTCATGTGACCGCTGGATCGAGGGCCCCACCTGCACTCGACGGAGCCGTCAAAGTCAGCCTTGTCAAGTGAATGGCAGGGAAATAAGGCCCCCCACTAGCCTCGTCGGTCTCGCTCTCAATTAACTCCCGACGCGGAAAAGACGACCCCTCTGGCGTGACATTCCCCAAACGACCTCTTGCTGGTCTGCTAGTCTGCTTGCGGTTCGGAGAGAGCGAGAAACAATTGCGGCACATGTCTGTCTGCGACTAAAGTGTAGTATGTAATTCAAAGCAACATCGCTCTGTCAGCAGACGTCACTCGTATCTAGCTAGTGCAGGCGGCCGCGGCCCATATGCACCTGTATCTGTATATACACCCTATTCCTAGCAAGCGTCCTGCCCGTGATGCATACATCCTGGAATAGTCCATATGACTCCAGGGATCGTGCTCTAGTCTGCGGAAAACGCCGTAGTAATGCAGTTGTGAAAAGGCACTACAATCGTAGATGAAGAGAGAAGTAAAAAAAAACAAAAACAATAGCGACCGATGTGGCAATCAGGGTATCTTGAACGAAAGTAAAAGTGAGACGGTGGAGTAAACCGCCATCTTTATGCTGATGTTGTCGACGATTTCCGTGACGACTTGAGGTGTATTCTCTTGACGTGGTCTCTCTGTACAAATAATTAGCATTTGATTTCCTGGCACCACTAGCTTTTGCCCAAACTTACCATATTGTCCACGCGGCTGAAAACTCTGTCACACCCATCCCAGTCGCACAAGACGCCCGGGTTGTGTTTTGCCTCGTGTCTCGCAAGATCCTTCTTGCTTGAGAATCCTCCTCCTTGAGATTGCGGGCAGTCGCCGTGTCGGCAGAAGAACGACTTGGTGTGTCGCTTGTGGTGCTTGCGGAGATCACACCCCCTGGTGAAGACTGCTCTTGATGTGCATCCTGGGTACGCACAACTCCATGTGCCGTTCTTGTTTGGGATGCCATACGCTCGTAGGTCTGGCGATGAAGGGGAAAGCGACCGCGATAGCGCGGGGGGCGAAGTCTCTGAAGGGATGCTGGACGCAATACCGTGGCCCACTGATGAAGATGTCGAGTGTGATCTTGATGGTCGAGTGGCGCCGGGATACTGTGAGAGAAGGGTCGAGTCGTGGGAGAGAATGGGAGGAGATCCCATGTCAGTGTATGGAGGGTAAGCGTACGACGACACTTGAGGCATCGGGATCGACTGGGCCTGCGAGGTCCAGAAGGGGTGGGGAGGGTATGGTGATTCCATGATGGGTCTGTAGTCTTGTGGAGGGGTGTACATTCCACCGTGGCCAGCCATTGTTGTCGAGGGACGGTGTGACATATGGTGGAGTGGTGGTGAGTACATGATGTTCGGAGGTGATTGGCAAGTGCTGGAGGGGTACATTTGACCCATGCCATCGTCAGGCGCCATGAGCGCTAGCTCTGCCTCAGTAGAGAAGAACGTCATCCTTGGGGTCAACGTGACTGTGTGTAGGTATGTGGAAGTCCAAGAGGAGTTGCGAAAAGGGAGGTGTGGTTGTCTTCAAATGGTCTTCAATCGACGCAAGCGTGCGTTGTATATCATGCGAGAGGAGTAGGCCAGTGCGTCTAAGCGGGAAATCCAGCAGATGGGTGAGAATGATCCAGTCTTAAGGCACAGACCCAGACTCTAGGGTTTAGGGTAGGGTAAGGCTGCTAGTCCGGGGTGTACAGGATTAGCCCGGCACTGCACTAGGGGGTGCTCTCCACAACGGTAAGGCTGGGGGGCATGTGAGACTTGACGAGAAGGAGTGGCGGGTAGTGGCGGTGTTGCAATGTCTTGCAGTGTCCTGGATCTCCACTTGGGTGCTTTGAACTAGGAATAGTAGAGATGGGGGCGAAGATGAAGAAAGAAGAAGAGGGTCAAGGCTGAGCAGGGAGTGGCAGGTCAGTCCAGTCAGTCAGTCAGTCAGTGTCACTTGAGGCCATATATGGGACAGGTACATATGTAAGTACATGTGTACTATTCGATGCAGAGAGGGCAGTCTAGAGGCAGCCAGTGTTGGACCGGAGGAGACCTCTCAGTCGGGTCACATATCCGACGACGGGAGCAGTGCCGGCGGTGATTGTCGAGCGTGGGTGACTTGGCTAGTAACGCTCGCTGCGCTGGCCTCCCAATCTGATACCGCTGGGCCCATTGCAGCGCGGGTGCATAACCCTTTCACAATTGCAGTGGAGAGCGAGTGAGCCTCGTGGGCCAGCGAGCTGATCCCTGTGAATGAAGGTACCGCCCTGATGGCGAGCGCGCCGCCCTAGCGCTGGCCTGGCAAGCGGCCGACTAGGGTCTACGTGCAGGGTGAAGAGCATCCACCATTTCGCTTGGGAACGACCGGTCGAGGAGGTTCATGCGACTCTGGCGGCCAACGGCTGGCAGTGGCAGGGCGTCTGGCAAGCAGGCCTGCAGCAACGAATCCTCCGTGCATGGCCCTTGGTATGGATGGTGCAAGTGCAAGCAGAGCCGGCCACACATCCGCACACAGACACGGCATCGCAACGGGGCCCGGCGGGGGGGGGGCCAGGCAGGCTGCGACGGCATCCAAAGCCACACATGGGCCCGGCTAGTGCGGCGGGCTGTGGAGCGACATTCGAAGGAAGGGCGGTAGCAGTAGCGTGGGTGTGTAGGCCGCGAGGAGGGGCAGCGAGATACACTTTCCATGGCTTTGGAGATGATGGCCTGCCGATCGCAGCCAAGGGAGCAGACGTGACGAAAAGCGGCCTGAGTTCAGTCGCTTACGCCGGCAAAAATTTGGCGTCGTGCACGGGGACACGCCCCGCGCTACCTACTTGCGCATGCCTGTCGGTGTCAGTCTGTGTCTGCTCTCTTGTTCTGGCGGCGATGTTCTTGTTCTTGCTGGTGCTGTGACTGTGACGATGCATGGGCCGGCAGCCGTGTGGTATTTTTAAACCCTGCAGCCAGCTCCCGGCTCTCAGCAACCAGCTCCCATCACCCATCAGGCAGCACAGCACAGCACACCACGCCAGTCGCCAGTCCCCGTCACCACTGACGGCCAGGCCCTGGGCAGCCGACGTTTCACGCCCTCCCTCTGCTCCTCCACGTCGGACCACCGCCGGCCATTCCTGCTCATCACTCGCGGCGGCCCTGCAACGACAGTTTGATTGCATTTGAAATCACGACTCGTGCTTGTCAATCAAGCCGGCCTCTTGCTTCCGACGTGGTTGGACAAGCACGCAAGAAACATGTCCAACAGGCGAGCGCACTGGGCCGGCGCTGTGGATCCACTCGCTGGCAGTGGCAGACGCCTACAACAGCCATGCGGCTAAACGGCCGTGCTGATGCTCGCCATACGCCCTCGTATTGGACCTACACGCTCCTGTATGCTGACTTGGGAGGCATAGCTGCTGATGGGCCCTCTGCCCAAGCCCTCTTTGCCGTGACAGTGACGCAGGGGCGGACAGTCTGTGTGGAGGAGTCAGACCACGACGGCCCGCACACCATCTCGCTCCAACACCAAGTCGAGTATTAGTGTCTGTGTATTGTATGTATCGTATGTATGTATGTCGAAGCAGGGGCAAGCTTGGTCCTTCTCTTCTGCAGTCCGCTAGCCGAAGCCTACACACATCTCATCATCCCCAAATAGTCCACGAGCTAGTTAGCATATGCGGCACAAGCTGCAAATTTGCACTCGCTGTCTTGCTGCTTTCCAAGACAGGCAAAGATGGACCCCGAAGCTGAGGCAAAGATTAGTCACCTTCCAGTGTTGTTACCGTCTCCGTCGGGGCACCAGGTCTCGGTGTAATATTCCGCCAGCCACTCATGTGTGATGAGAAGCGACTTTGCGTTGTTGGGCGCAGGACGGCGCAGGGACAAGATACGCCCGTCGAACCTACTGTAGGACCAAAGTGACTTGACTTGACTTGACGGCAAGGGCAAGGGTGAGGGTGAGGCCAAGGACAAGTGCTATACTCGCCCCTTCCTTACTATGCTCCCTCGCTCCTACCAGCCCAACAACAACCCCAACACTAGCTTACTACACCTACTCTACTCTACTCCGTCCCGTCATCCATACAATTCTTCGCCCTCCACATATCCACCACTCGGTCCACCACACAGCCCGGCCCTTGCAGGCCAGTGCTTCGGGAGTTACTAATCTTGGAACTCCCCACAATCATGGCACTGTCTCTTGTTTCCAGAGGATTGACGTCTGAGACTAGAGTAAGGCTGACTTGACAGTTCAGCACCACAGTGCTCCCGAGGTGATGCCTAGGCTCAAGGGAGATGTGTCTGGCCCTGGCCATCGTATGGATAGTCCTCACTGCAATATACCCAGTCCCCCAACCAACACAACACCCGCTAGCATGTACCCTGAGCCGTACCGGCCCCGAGTGGCTATGATAGATTGTCCACAAGTGATGATCTCAAGCAACAAACAGAAAGAACGCGGTCCATCATCAGGCTTCCCACAATGGCTCTTTGGTCATAGTCAGGCCACTTTGACGACTCCGAAACTCTTGTAAATGTTTCTTTTTTCGTCTCCAGACGTGGCCGAATGAGCAGTGTGGAACTACCATCTCCATATCATACCTGTGGATGCGTACTGCGCAGACAAAAAAGAATTACTTGGTGCCAAGACCATCTGCTTGAGCACCTCTCATAGTGCCGATGATCCTGACGACATCACTAATCATAGTCTTAGATTCTTGCTTTGTAGACACCGCATTTCTGCAAACGCTTCGTCAACGGTTCAATCACAGAAAAACCCAAAGTCGAACTGCTTTCAAAGACAATACAGCTGCAGTCTAGAGTAGAATACCTTGCCGACTTGTTGAATAGAGACTTTTTCTAAGTAACCAATCAAGCCCCGAATTTATCAGATTGACTATCTCGATCTCGTCATTCCCAACCTCTTTCAACCTCTCAACGCAGAATCGGCTCTACCATCACACTATCCTATTATTAGACACCACCACCTTTCAAGCCCCATCTTAACACAGGAAAATCAATATGGAAACATCATGGTAGCGGTGAAACGTGGCAGTGTTGTCTTTCCAGCACAGCCTCAATCTCATCTCTCCCGGCGCCGAAACACAACCCCGTCTTTGGTATTACCCACTCGGAAATCAGGCACCAACATCTCCCTTACTGTAGGGTCGCAGAAATACTATTCTCTGCATAGTAGCAGTTCTGTGTCGGTGGCGATGTAAGAAACAGCTCGCGATCGTACTAGAGTCCCTACACTAACAAAGTGCAGAGTTCGGACCGCCGTAGGCCTAGAGGTGCTCAGCCCAAGCTCTGAGCTTCGGCTCTATCGGAAACGTACCCTTCGGAAGATGTCATTATGCTGTACTGCAAGATCTTTGGGCTCGGTAGTTGATTGTGCAACGACGAAGATCAACATCAAGCACATAATTGATACAAGCCGTACTCTGAAGCTTTGGCCCCGCCTGTAGTGCACGATGGGTAGAGCTCCTAAACAAAAAGAACAGAAAACAGAGTAACCTAGCTTTCGGTCATTGTTTGCTTCCATTCTCTGGTTGAGTTCCTGGTACTTGTCTGCACATCATCCTCTGCATTTGTGCAAATCCCAGTGAGTATGCTTCCAGACCTGAGAGACGATTGTAACACAAGCAATGTGGAAATTGAATTTGATATGACGTGCTTTCTGTTGCGCTGACCTTACGCAGACATTTTACGTCGTTGCTGGAGTCCACTCCTCCACATCTCGAAAATCCATCACTTTGCCAGGACCACCGTGCCTGCCCTGCGTATCCCACCAATCTCGTTCTACGCTTGTTTCTGGCCGCCATCTCATTGCCTTCCTCAGCCTCTCTTCTCCCTTATTTTCAATCACATCGGCGACCAGTGATCCGATGGCGGGACATGCCATGAATCCGTTTCCAGAACCTCCGACGGCAACAATCAAGTTTGATATCGCTGGATGCCTGTCAATAAGAAACATGCGATCAACTGTGTCTGCGTCCCAACATATACGTGCGAAGCTGAAGCCGCGTTGAGAGAATTGTGGCATCGTCTCTGAAAGAAGAAGACGCATACGTGATTCGGCTTCCTTGGGAATTTGATGACGGGCAAACGGAATCGACCGCATCTTGCCATTGTTATAAATCGGGTTTATGTAGCCCGGGTGTTCATCGCAGAGCTTTATCTCGTTGTTTTCGACATCTGGCTCAATGAAGAAGCCACGATCTACCCCATACAGTACGGGTAATTTGCGGTAATGCTCTGCCTCCTCGGCGGAGAGAGGTATGTGTGCCAGTGTCCAGGCTGTAGGTCGGAGTTGCTGCTCAAAGTCTACAAGCAGGTCGCTGTTTGCGCCGGCTGCTAGTATGGTCTGCTTCGCTACATGCTCGGTACCATCTACGATCCTCACTCCTGTGACACGACTCTTGTCTGAGTTGTAGAGTAGTTCCTGGACTTTTCCTGTGGTTCCTGTTACGAAGCTCACACCAAGTCTTACTGCCTCATTGTACATTGCCTTGAGAGCACCACTCGCAAACACCCAGCCTGCGCCGTTTTTCTTCCAAAATCCCCTCCAGCCTGCAAGCTCGCCTTGTAGTACGTGCTTCGGCATTGTAAACCGGAAGTCTTCTTTGCTGTTGAGAGCCACTGGTACGGTCTTCTCCCCTTTTGCATACTCCACACAACGTTTGTATGCTTGGTCGCCTACAGCTGCCATGATGAAGCCAGTATCATGGTAGAAGGATGAGAAAACGAGGTCGTATTTCCAAGCGTGCATTGCAAGTTGAGTTATGCGGTTCCAAAAGTAGTCCTCATCGCTATCAGAGTTAGATGGCTCCTTTGCTTCTTCGGCAATTTTGTTCAGGTCGTTGCCAGCCGAGATGGCCGAAGGGAATGGGCTGCCGTCCAGTACAGTGATGGAAGTGTAGCCACGCCGGGCGAGCTCGAGGGCAATTGAACACCCCCATGATCCGGCACCTATGATGAGGATATTGCTATGGGATGTCTGTGTCATGGTGGAACGGAGGGGTAATGTACACTACATATTGTAGCTGCGTTGGAGGCCTCATTGTGCGCTGTCCTGGGTGGAGCCACCTTCTGTTCTGAGACAACTGCATTGCATACTACTAAGCGAGCTGTGCTATCTAATGAAGGAGGTAACTTTTTTTCTGTCATCCTATTCTCTGACGTAACGATGACTATTGTTTGGCAAGCTTCACAAGTGGAACATATAGACACGTGACAGGTCTGTTCGAGCACGCGTGATCACGTGCAGATAAGCGCGCTATCTCAAAAGTGGTGCAAATCCCCGCGGCGTACAACTTTATGACAGCGGATCAATTGACCCAGCGTACGCCTTGATGATTCGCATACGCCCGACGATATCGCGCAACATATGGCGATCACATATATCTCTTCTGTCTCAGGGCCAGACGCGCTTTGCTACCGTCAAACATGGTGGCAAGCGCGGGCGCCCAAAGGGTGCGACTGGTTACTGGTCCGAAGAGAAGCTGGCGACAGATGAGAAGTATCCCTTGAGCTTCACCATGAAGGAGTTGATACACCCATCCCTCGAGCCCAAAGTCAAGAGAAAGAGAGGCGCAAATATAGGTCCCTCGGCCCTGTCTGGCGGCGTTCACGTCAGAGCACAAATTGTAAGTCCCGATCTGTGTGGTACGTCGCGCCCTCTTTAGAGCATACGATTAGCTAAACTGATACTGATACAAAATCTGTATAGATGATGTGATCAAGTACGCTGGTCACACCTTGGAAAAGCACAAGGGCTGTGACATCCTTGACATTAATCCTGGCGCTGGGCTCTGGTCACAGAAGCTTCACGAGTACCTTCAGCCACGAAGCCATGTGCTGCTCGAATCCCGCTTCGATAAATTCAAGGACTTCCTCGAACCTCTGCTTAACGCGCCCGGCTCCAAGTACTCGCTCATAGAGAAAGATCCGACTGATCTCGACACATACACAAACATGATCGCCGAGGGTGTCTTTCCTCAACAGACGATACGGGATTCACGCGATCCGAAGGCTCAGGATCCGAACAACACACTACTGGTGACAGGGTCTCTAATTTGGGACCCTGCCATGTCCGGTCTTGGGTTTGACTCGATGGCCAAGCAAGTTCACTACCATCTCAGTGCCGCTGCTGGGAGCAACGAACTGTTCCATGCCTACGGTCTTGTTCGCACGCTTTTCTGGATGCAACAAGAGGATTTTAGTACTTCAATGGCTGATTCTATCAGTACAATGTACAAGACCAACCGATTCATGGAGATGTCTCAGAACATCAACGTACTTGTCAACGGGACCCAAACTCCGCGCAAATTGGGCAAAGGATCTTCAGGACGTGAACCTCAATATGCCATTGAGAGCACTATTTATGCTCTGAGAAGAGGTAAAGAACTGGGTATGGAGCTTCCACCGCATCGGCGCGATCGTATTCATGAGTTTGCTGCCGATATTGAGCGCATCTCCAATGGCACAGGCATGGCCAAAAGTGCCGAGATACAAGAATACCTTCGTGAGCAACAACTAGCGGGAAAGTCGACCACTGGCCTACTGAGTGAAGGACTTATTGAACACTATGAAACTGAAAAAGCCATACGACAGCAATACCCTAATGTCGAAATTCCCAATGGAACAGCTCTTATAAGTTCCAAGGCACGCAAGAAGATCGTTCCTGAAGACCATCCTGCCAAGGATCAAATTCGTAAATACATTTCAGACTGTGCACAGATCAATTTCACCCAAAGGCTTAAGTCACAAATTGAAGCGATAGCCGACGTTGGTGAGGCCATGTATGAACTCGAAGGCAAGATTCTCCGCATGCAGGACGGGTCCGAAAAAGACGCGGCAATGGCAAAGCTGGAAGAGCTAAATGCCAGCTGGGAGGAGGGGAACAAGAAAATGCCACTCAACTATGCTCGCGCTCCAGCTACCGAGCTTGACGACCGCCTCGCTCTACGGGCACCCCCTGCCCCTCGTGTTCAGTGGGATTCTCGTCCCTTTGAACCACTCACCATGTACAAAAACGAAGCTTGGCCCACAAATCGTCTCTCTCTCATCTCTACCGAGCCTCTCCCACAGCCCACCGCAGAATATCACGATTATTACGATTGGCTGCATGACTTTATACACGGGCTCTACGCTAATCCCTCGGACACCATTCCCGAAGCCCTCGACAAGATGCAGCACGGACTTCGCGATATCATGGAAGAGTGTCCGAGCTTAAAGGACCCAGACAAGGGCGGGAGGCTGCAGATGGATCACTTTAGGGTCAGGTTGCTCACACCGGAGATGATTACAGAAATGTTGGATGCGTATATGAACTGGCCATTCAAGGCGCCGGGAAGTGATCACAGCAAGTACTTTCGGCATAGGAGTTCGGCACATCACTTCACGTCTAAACAGACTACTATGGCTTGAGCGGGCGGCACAGACTTGCGGGTTGTGGGTTGAGATATGAGCTTGGATGAGTTGGCATGCACCGGCAGTCAATTATAGGTGTGCTTGCGATACGTCACATTTATCGAATGAACCCTATGTTACGTTGTCCTGAGCGTTTTTCGTCCTCGTCAGAGCAAACTATCGTTTCTGGATAACCATGTGCCTCGGCTTCGCTCTGTAACTTGCGTTGGCATGTGGAGGAGTTGGAGAGTTTTGTCAAGTGGATCAGTGGTGTGATCTGAATGTAATTTCTTCAGTTCCTAAACATGCTCAGGCTACTAGATGTTTCAGCTGCTTCCGCACTGGTGACGATATTCGTTCCAATACTCGTAGCCCAGGTGCTAAATTGGCAACGAGCAGTGTAGACTGATCTTGTATAGGCGACACAGCTCTGCTGTGGTGTTTTTAAACGTACGGGCTGGGGAGACAGATATGGAGTATCTTCCAGCGACACGACCGTCTTTGGGATGATAGCACTATTGAAGATACTTTCTATGGTAGATTAGAAAGTTCCTCATTATTTCTTGTTTGAGAATCTCTTTGATAGGTATGTTCACAACTATATTGCATCGCCTTCCTTATCCATACCGCTTCTCGCAAGTAAAAGCGAGTCCACAGTATAAACTATACATGTGCATTCAACAATGAGCAAGCGAAGCAAGCACTGCACACGCCATATGTCATTCAAATCACACTTCATCATCACATGCGGAACCAGCGGCAATAAGGGGGAGAAGAAAAAATAATCAACTCGCGACATAACCACTTAGTCCAATCACAGGACCAAATAACGCCTCTAACAAATTATCTGAAAGCGCCACATACATACATCCGTACGTACGTAGCAGGGCATCACAACCACACAACCCAACCCTCCATCACCACCACCACCGCTGCCCTAATTACCCTACCCTTACAACCACTGAATGCCCAAACCCTCCAACCCTCCCTCCATCAACGCTTCCCTTTTCTCACCACCCACTCACCTCACCACCTGCACCCCCATCCCCTTCCCTTCCCCTCCCCTCGCTAACCCCTACCGCCACTAATCCAAATACGGCATAATCTAGCGAAAACACCCACTCGGCTACCCCTCGTCTAGCGCGACCAGGGGGGAAGCGACGGCGACGGCGACTTCTCGTTCCCCACCGCTCGCCTGCTCTAAAACTAACTACTTACCCTTGTCGGATTTTTTTCTTGGGAAGAGGGGGGGGTGGCGGCGTGGTGGTGCTGAGCGTGCATGTTGCATGTTTTATTCCCGCTTCTAACAATTCATTCCTGCTACTACATAACGACGGGATTGAGGGGGTGTTCAATAGTGTGGTGGTTATGATGATGATGATGATGTTATGTAGAGTAGCATGATTTGATATCATGAGATGTACTGTGTATATGTAACTGCCAAGCTTGGGGGTCTGTAATGCTATGTATAGGCGATAGTAGGGGACGATGCTGAGAGTGGGTTATCGAAAAATAAAATAAAATAAAATAAATCAAGGGTCAATGGATGTTTGATGCTGATAATTGTGGATGCGGGAAAAGAAGGCGCTAAGGGGGGCGGGGAGGACACCCAGCAAACCCGCGTATGATTTTCTAGAATAAGAAGGGGAGACAGGGGCGAGCGAGTAGCAGGTGGGGAAGAACAGGGGTAGGCGACTTTTTCGTTTTTTTCTTGGGAGTTGATTGCGATTGCGATGGAAGGGGCGATTGGTGGGGATTATTTGAAGGACTAGGCGCGTGGGTAGGGCCGCGTTTGCATTCGTGTACAGAGGATGCGAGTGAGCGAGTGCGAGAGCGAGTACTTGGGGGATGGTTGGTGGGTGATGATGATGATAATGCGGGGCGTACGTATGCGTATGTACATAGCGGTGTACTATGCCCCCCCCTCTCACCCATTTTTCGACCGCTTCCTTCCGTTGGTTCAAAGGATTCGTTATCTTGGCTTGGTGTTATTTACCATGGCCATGGGTAAAAGTACAGGAACGGTGAGAAAGAGTGGTCAATCTTTGCTTCTCTCAGCTTTTTTCTTTCCTTTTCGTCCTTCGTATCGGCGCCCCGGAATCCTAAACGTTCGCCTAGCCCTGCTCTTTTTCTTGTGCTTCTGGACCTCTGAGCGGTACCGGCGTCCCGACAAGCGAGCATGGCAACGGGCTAGGGGGTTAGGACTAGCATGGGGCTCGTAGCGGAGATTCAACTATTTGATCGGTATATGGGGTTCTTGCAGAATCGGCTTAGCACCCATGGTGAGGGATTGGTGAGCAGGGGGAGGGGAATACGGTGTACGCTTTATGTTTTGTTGTAATCGTTGTCTGATGGGTGTGCCATGCCGTCATACGATGGTAATTAGACAGACTTTGAGAACATCCCGGATATGTGGAAATAGCAGGCGGTCGGGGCTCCCGAAATCCTACGTATACTAAACCCGCGGTAAGTCAAGTACTGTTACATCGCTCAGTTCAATTTTCTCCTTCTTGACTACGTAACTCGTACATATTATCCGTAAAGCACACGCACCTTTCTGTGAAGCGGATAATGCGCGTAGTACATGACAGAAACAGTGGACTGCATTGCAGGAGAGAAAGCAAGCACATGCACATGCACACATACATGCATGTTGCATATTTTTTTTCCTTCTCTCCATCTCGCTCTTAATCCAGTCGCCAGGTACACACACAACAGCTGCATATCGCATACAAACTAAAAACAAGCCTTCTTTCCAACCCCCATACATACATCCTGAAAAACGCCCAGTGCCATCTATCCTAGCAATGAAGTACATAGCAACCCAATCCCTCCGACCCGTCTAAGAAAGAAGAGCAAGAGAAAAACGCCCGATTCCCTAGACACTTACGCATGACCATGCCAGCGGCTGACTCGCCTGCTGAAACGCCAATTGAAAATTACGTCGAATATGCAACGCTACGTCAAAGCACACACCCCTCCCCCAGTCTCCTTCTGCCACCCTCTTGTCTCTTGCGTCTTGCCCCATGGAGAGCTTGCCCTTGTCTTTATTCGTAAGTCCAAATCACATCAGACGGCCGCAAGCAAGTTGAGCGCAGTGCTCAACTCGCGACGTGCATCAAGCTCGTCAGTGCCGTCATGCAGCCGATAGTGGTGTGCCACGAGACGCAGCGTAGCCCTGTAAATCCTGTATCTGATTTTATCTCCGTCAGTTTTTGAACTGGTTTTTCCCAACCAAGAAGCTCGAAAAGATGGAACTAGAGTGGGGGTGGAACGAAGTAGAATGGGACTTCGGGTTAAATCTGAACCCGACGTATACTATACGGAAGAAATTAAACAAAAAAAAAACTCACATCATAATCCTAACCTTTGCAGGCCCCGTCCTCGGCGCACACTCACCCAGGCCTGTCAAAAACGCCTCGCTAGCGTCCGCCATACCGCCACTCATAAGTGGATCGCCCCAGATGATATTAGAGAAGCCGACGAGGCCAATGACTTGCTTGGTATGCTCATCGAGCAAAATGTTGTCTGCGTTGCACGCATTGGGTGCTACGAGGCGTGGTTCCGTCACTTTATCCAAATGGTGCGCGTGCTTGCCGACCCAGTAGCGGATACTCTCCGAATGCAGATTGACCAGCATATCTTCTGCGTCCCGCAGCGTCGACTCGAGTAGTCCGAGGAACGCTTCGCGCCAGGTGGTACTGCCTTTCTTGGCGAAGACGCGGTGGGACTGCCCGAATTGGGGAGCTGATAGTGCCGTCAGCGAGCGCATGTGCGTGCCCATGGTGTGATCGATTGCATTGCGTTCGCTGGGCGTGAGATACGGTGCGAGTTCTGAGAGTCGTCGGCCGGGTATGTGGCTCATTAGGAGGAAGGGCCGCCCGAGTGCTGAGCTGTGACTGTCAAATGTGATAAGTTGTGGAATAGGTATTCGGGTGTATTCGCGGATCATCTCGAGTGTCTTGCGTTCGGTATCCAGGATGTGTTTCTCGTGGCGGAGGAGTCGAACATTATGTGCTGGTGGGCACTTGAGCACGAGACTGCTGCCATCTGCAAGTCTAGTGACGTAGACCTGCCCAAGATAGCCTTGGATAACTTCCACCTGTTGAACTGTGATTTTTGACGATCGATATACTGTTCGAATCAATCGTTGTATGCTGGAGGTGTCGAGTGTAGTGACGGTAGTCTGGATAGACGCTCTTGACAGAGATGACGAAGACGATGTCGAAGATGAAGATGTGGATGTAGAGGACCGAACAGGCTTCACAGCATAGGTGCCACGGCTCATATTGGGGGGTTTGTAAATGATAGCATGTTGCGGGGGGTGATGCATTATGTATCATCAGCCGCTCACTACCCATGTACTAGGTTCAGGCGGGAGATTTAGCGCCATTTCACACCACAGATGCTCCAAGCGCTTCTAGTTGCTCCATGCCATGGACCGGCCCGAGCAGAATGAATGATTCGTGTCTATAGCATCATCTGTGCCTTTCCTTTTTTAAACTGATGGTAATCGATGCCCGACTACTGTCCGGTGAAGGGCCGGAAATAAGAGCATCACTAGAGGAGCCCGAGCAAGATCGAGTGTAATAAAAACCACTCACTGCAGGAGAATCTAGTCCTAAAATTGGCCGTATTCGTCTATTCTCACGAACACACATCAGCACATCGACAAGTTGAGCACGTGTGTAAGCCATGTTGGCCATGTTTTCAGCTACATGCTCCTAGGCTGAAAAGCCCTATGGGTCATTCATACGTGTACAGCACCCGTTATGCAAGTACCGTTCTACTAGTGCCTAAACTAGCATATGTGAATATCAAGACGAAAAGGACGCGAGAGGCGTTCGTTTAGATGCTGGTGTGGCGCGAGGAGCGTTCGTCAATGTTGACCAAATGCGGTTAGCTTCTAGTTGGGTAGATCGCCTATCGGAATCTGGAATTTGTCATGGGGACCAAAGGACAGGGCGCATAAGTCATTAATGCCGCTTAGTAGATGCTGATGAAATTGGAGATGTAATCGATGGCTTTTTCGAATATCTTGTAGTTTATGAGGGGAAGGTATTGCGATCAGCATGGTGTTAACAATTGATACAGAGTCAACATTGACGTGGCGTCTTTGCACCAGGGTAGAGCCCTTCAACCATCTTTGACTATCGGGCACTCTTCCGTCATTGGTGTGGCGAGCCTCAAACTCGTCTGTGAAGCTGATGTGCGAATCCGATATGTCGGAGACGGGTCGCAACAAAGAGCTGAGGCGTGGAGTCAGCACTTACATAGCAGCTCTGCTCCTCACATAGTCTTGCAAGGCCTTCCGGTGTTTCACATGTGCTACTGCACCTCCAAGCCACAATAGCCACAGTCGGAGGATTTGTTGTTTGTGGACATTGATGCGCTAGCGTCTTGGCCTAAAAGTGACAATCCATAGAACATGCCGATTGATTGGTATCTAATCACTCGTCTTCTTTGCTTTCAGTGATCTTGCTGCCGTCCTTTGTGGTCTCTGGAGCAGTGGAAGATATTGGCTGGCGTAGCTCTTCAATATTGAAGCGCTTGAGTTTCTCAAAATCGGGGCCTACTACGCTCATGCCAATGACGTTCTGTCACGAGTAAGCAGCTGTCATAACCTTACTGACCCACCACGCAGCAATCTCATACCTGGTAAATCTCCACGATGATGAGCAAATCATACCCCTTTAGATCGACCTTATGGCCAGGGCCTACTGTAGCTGCAATCGTTCTGATAACATCGTCTCTCAGGAACTCCTTGTTATTGCGTATCGAAGGTCGTATAGCGAACTGGGATTATCCTACATTAGCGAGAAGCTTCGTATATAAATGATGCGTCATTCGACACCAATAGGTTAGGCTAACCTTTTTCCCCGTTTGATCCGGTCCATGGAAGTGAGGCGCCAAAACTTGTTTCGCAACACTCTCGAGACCCTGGGGAGTGGCTTTCTCGGTTGCAGTAATAGGTGTTAGTCGCTTCACGTAGCTCAAATTTCTCGGCTGAGCGCCATCAGCAATATCTTGGCAAATTTTGTGGACAAAAGACACAGGTTCCAATGGCGATCGAGTTCTGAAAAACACCACTTGTAAGGTCAGTACGGGTAAGAGAACATGTCCCAGTACTCTTACAGCATTGAGTGTCAAGCTTGACCGATGTAAACAATGGCTTTGTAGTTGGATTGCGAATATCGGCAAGCTCTTTGCTGATCTGAGCTTCGATATCCCCCCCCTCAGCATCAGAATCGTCGTCTGCAGCTGTTTCACTGGATTCAGTCGTCCCATACATTTTGGTAGCGTACTGTCGCCGCCTGTCAGCATCTCCGACAATATAATGTGCGGTTGCTGGTGCATCAAGTAATGGCTCACTTCTTGGAATAAATCTCGTAGATCAGCCACGGATTTGGCTTCCTTCTTCATGGAGCACGTGGCCCATATCCCAGCGTCCCCAGCTTGTATGGCGCGATTTGACATGTCTCTCCTAGGCATCTCCCAGTTTTTCTTACCCTAGCAACTAAAGTCAGACTCTATGAAACAAAATGCAGCTGCAGAACGAAAACAGCATCGTGAGGCCAAGGCTGCAACGACAGGCATAGATGTCGCCGTCTTACGGAAAAAAAGAAAAAAACACACCTTGGCTCGTTTATTGCCTTCAGCTTGCCGCTCGCCGGACTCGGCTTTGCGTTTTCTCGTAGCATCGTGTGCTCCAGGCATTATGGGCAAATCTAGGTCAAGCAAAGGGGTGGAGGTGATTGGATGAACAATGCTTTAGAATGTTTGGTTGTAGGGGGAGAATCGCGAAAAAGAAACTAGTCCAGTTGTGGCCACTAGCGCGGCTGTTCCTGCCTAGATTCTGCAGCTCACACTACACCTCTCAGCCTCATTCAAGCTCACCGCGAAACCTTGGTAAACTTGCTTTGTTCAGTGGCGCACACCTAGCTCTCGAACTTCGGCTACCGATGCCACGTGTCGGCGAGGTTCAGCAGCTGGCGTTTCGTTAAGGCGTCTAGAACTTGTCCCGTGACGCACCTTTGCCGAGCGCCAGGAAACAGGTAGTAGAGCTTCCGGTGAACGACGGCGTCCGGGAATATGAGACAATCTGCCAATAGAATGCTAGCCTTATGTGATAATAGCAAGCCAATGCATACCTGAGCAGAGGATAAACAAATGGCTGAAAAAGCCAGCACTGAGATTGAATCCCAAAAACATGAATCATAGCAATCACACATTCATAGTCTTGCAAGTAGATTATATGTAGGCGACCATCGCCAAAAAGGTTAAATTCTAATTAAGTTTCCTAATACCCGATATACCGAAAAGCCATTATTATGTAAGTAACTCGCGAGAGAAATCCAAAAAAAGGATCATGGGTATACAAATGGGTATATGGAAAATCGACAACAAACAAAAGGAAAAGGACATAACCTTCGTCAAGTTCGCTATCGTGAGAATCGTAAAGGCGTCATTACCGGGCCTCCAACGGCCAGATGGTAGAGGGAGAGGAGAGAGAAAAAGCAGCAATGAAGAGATGCGAGGCAAGATGCCCAAGGAGATTGAGAGAAGAGATCCAAAAGCCAACCAAACGCCGATGAAAAATGAAGACTAAAGTAGGAAAAAGGAAAAAGGAAAAAGGAAAACGAATAATGTAACAAGAAGAAAAATCGTTGTTATACAAGCAACCAATCAGAGGCAGCTCGATCAACAAGCTCTCAAAAGGTTGTTTTGTTTAGGCGTCGCCACGACGCATGAAGCCGAAGCGTTTCTTCCTCTTCTCGGTTTTGTCAGCACTGAGTAGTGGATTGGGGTAACCAGTGAGGGCAGCTTCGGCATTGAGGCGTTCTGCCTTTTCAAAATCAAAGGGGCTAGACCATTTTCGTTGGGGAATCTCTCCCATCTTTGTGCTGTCGGAAGCAAAGGTGTAGCAGGAGGGTGTGTTTTTTTCCATGCGGCGTCTGAAGTGGATGGTTGCCGGGGCGTGGTCAAGTAGTGGTGGTGGAGATAGGTACTCTGGTTTGGACGGAACAGGAGGTTTGGATGGCGCAGAGGGAGCGGGGGTGGGAGTGGGGGTGGCAGATCGGCGGGGCGCAGGGGAAAATGTTGGGAGCTTGGGGGTAGGTTCGTGAACGTGTTTCGGCGTTGGAGCACGCTTTGGCGCTGCGACGGGCTTTGGTGCTACGACAGGCTTTGATACAGGGACTGGCTTTGGCGAAGGGGATTTGGCGACGGTGTGGGGAAGATGTTCTTGAGGCCATGGCTCACGTGGATCTTGGAAGGAATCAACGCGTTGTTTGACACGACTCGTCTTTGTTGGTGCACTGCCTAGCGTGCCCTTGAAGACACCAGTGGTCTGAAGCTCAAGAGGATCGACAGGCACATACAGAGGCAGTTGGGGTGCTGTGTGGGCCTTCTTTAGCTCAGGAGAAGCCATTTGAAGTTTCTTTGGCTGGGGAGAGGACATGGGTGAAGTAGTGCGGGATGAGCTGGAAGTTGACTTGACCGCACTAGAGCTGTTGCTTGATGAAGTAGCCTTGCGACTTGCCTTTGGCCTCACGACGGCAAGGTGAGGATGACTGGTGCGTCCTTGTCTGATGGGCATGCGGGTAACTACTGGGCCGAGGGAGCGTGTGCGGGTAGCCGAGGAGCTTGACCGCTTCTTCCTCTCCTTCTCGGGGCTGGCGCTGCGTGAGGAGCAGTCATGATGTTTAGTAGTTCCACAACGGAGACAGACGGCAGCAGCAATCCTGTGGAGCTGGGCGTGGGCCTGACTTAGTCGCAGGTAGAGTTGGGTTAGGCTGAGCAGAGCCTCACGGCGGGAGGCGTCGGAAAGGTGGGTCAGCGACTTGTAGTCTAGGTCTAGGTGGCTCTTTCCGTTTTTGTGCTCATGGTCGAGAAAGGATGCAATGATGGCCACGAGGCCAGTATTTAGTTTGATCAGCGTCTCTGCAAGGGCTGCGTGTGCAATGGCTGTCTGGCTGTTAGCATATCGTACAATGCCATTGTTTTTTGAGTTGTTGTTGTTGTTGTTCTAGTACTCACCATCGCCCTTTGCGAAACGCGCGCCGATACTGCTTTGGTAGCATTCAACATACTTCTCCGCCACCTCAATGGGCCCTCTGCGTAAGCTCTTGGAGAGCTGGTGCTCAGCCGAGCTGGTCGCGTCGGACGTGTCGCTGTCCTTGCGCGAGGACTTGCGCTTTTTTCTTCTTTCGCGCAGCCGCTTGAAGATGTTGAATCCATTTGTGAAGGCTTCTATGATACCGGCCACGCAGCTTGATACCTCGGCCTCGTCGGCCCTAGGCGCAGCTCGCGTGCCTACACTGTCTAATTTGACGGCCATGGGCAGAATGCAGACGACCAAAACCAGCAAAGGTGCGATGCAATACAGAGTGGAACTGAGGAGAAAGAGAGGGAAACGCACGATAGGTATACAATATTCTAGAGGAAAACAAAGTGCGGTCTAAGCATTCATTAGCGAGGGTGAATGAAGAGTCATCTGCAAGTCTGCAAGCCAGATCACCCAGGTTAGCCTTAAGTTGTGTTAAGTCGAGTCGAGTCGAGTCAAGTCGCCGTCAACATGGCCGCCCAGCGACGGGGGCTCTTTGCTTTATCCCGCTGGCCGCCCGACCCTTGCCCTGCACCAACGCCTAGTTGCCCGTGGGTGTGCACCAGCTTCAGCGTTCCTGCGTCTGTTACTGGGCGACATTGACTGCCTGAGCACCGCCAGCGCCGCCGTTTTTCGAGCCGAGTGCTGCTGGTAGCCGCTGGGTGTGCTGGCCCGCCATGGGTGCGCGCTGCTGATTGGCTGCCTGCATCGCGCTAGCTATATCGGTCAGCTTTTGTGGACCCTCGCCTGCGAGCGGACTCGAGACGTCGAGACCGCTTGTCTACACGTGCGTCGACATGGGAACAACAAAGTAAACATCAACACCTGCATGAAACACCCGGCCGCTGTGTCGTGGCCCTGAGTGGGTTCCTACCATCGAAACATCAAGGCTGCGTGTGGGGTGCAGCACACCCTCGTTCTGTCCTCGTTGGCCCACCATTGCCTCATTCTCGCGACAAAAGATGAAAACATAGTCAAGACATGCGGTGGGCCCCGTCGCCAAGAGAGATGAAGTGTCATTCGCAGGGGGGCCCTGTCGTGCTCTGTTAAGCAACAGGCACTCTCTCCCTTTCGCCAAACCCACTACAGTAGTCTACACACCCAAACGCCTCGCTATGCAATACACAGTACACGTCCTTGATCGCCCTACCTACCTACCTGTAGTCTAGCCCTCACTGCTCGCTGTCTTCACCATCCTCCACAGTCACCCTTCTCCGTGTCGCCGCCTGGCCTTCTGAGCTGCTGGCTCCAACCGCAGAGCTCGACCCTTCGGCTTCTGTCCTCTCCCCCACATTGCCGAAACTCCAGCTAGACTCAAGACTGCTAGGCTCCGCAGCCTTCGGTGAAGAGTGAGATGCTTGCTGAGAAGTACTCGTCCTCACCGCCGATGCTCCTGCTTGACCTGGAGATGTCGCATTGTCAGCCAAAGATATATCTGCTCCAGAGTCTGCTGCTGGCGGTGTTGACTGCGTCTGCTCTGCCACCGGAGCCCTATCTTGGCCTGACGGTTCTGTATGTGGTGGTGCTGGTATTGTGCCACCCTCATGTCCGGGCCGTGGCGCTAGTGCCATCGGCCTCAGCGTCCATCCTTCCGGCAACGTCAGACCCTCTGGCACACCTGCATCGCCCTGTCGCAAAACCGGTCCCCTGGCGAAATAGGCTTGTGGTACGAATGTATTCATGTTGGGCCCGTTCAACGGCGCAATAGGTGGTAATTCTTGACCGGTTGCCCCCGTCACGCCAGATGCTTGCTGTAGTCGGTGCAGTTCGTCAAGAAGCCGGTGAATAACCTCAAGTTGCTCGTGTTGCACGTTGAGATGTCGCATTGATTCAATGATGTTCTGTTGTAGGCGTAAAATGTCCGATTGAATATCCGACGGGTGCAGCGCAACAGCTCCTGGCATCGGCCCAGTGGGAAAATTCGCAGTCATGCCTTGTCCAAAGGTCGGTTGACCGGAAGGCACATTTTGCTGACCTGGGTTCTGTGCCATGTTGTTTGCTACAGCCTGCTGTCGCATCTGCTGAATTGCATTTTGCACAGCAGCATTGTCATGTTGCCCTGGTGGCACCCGAATATTTCCGAGGGCTATCCTGAGTGGACCCAAGTTGAACACGCGCATATTGCCTGCAGGCCCGTTTGCTGGTCTACCATCCTGGGGTGCTGCCGGCTGACCCTGGCCTTGTTGCCCTCCAGCACCACCTTGGTGTCCTCCAAAGCCACCTTGCTGCGCATTCCCTCCGAACATTGCTTGTAGCGCCTCGCGATTCGGTAGGTTCTGTTGTCCTTGCTGCCCCTGGTTGGCCTGATTGTTGCGTTGAGTGTTGGGAGTGGCTGCCGAAGTAAGGACGGGTCTGCGGCACGTTGGACACACTTGCTGCCTCTCAAGCCAACTACGCAGACAGCTAAAGTGTAAGATATGGCCGCATGGGAGTTTCTTTGGGCGCTGTCGCTCATCCATTCTGCGGCCCTGCTGCGCGCCATCCGCACCAGGCTGATTCCACGGTCGCATCTCTTCGCGGCAAACAATGCACGTATTCTCTCGCTCGAGTTCTTCGGCTGTTGCATCGGGGTACCGTGTGTTCATGTCGCGAGTTGCGTTTCGGTACTGGACGAAATCGTTAATTCTCTTAATCAGAGACCGGAGGGACATGAACAGGTCCCTCATGATGTGAATGGGAATGCCGTAGAATGTCATGAGAATGATGAAGAAGCCCATGTATACGACTGACTTGACAAAGTCTGTCGCTAGATCCAGGTAGAAGACCCAGCGGCCCTTTTCTTCCCACCCGGGCACATCACCCTCGTCTTCATCATCATCAGCCTCGACAGGTACTTCAGCTCCACCAGCTGCAGCTTGTTGACGTGCTAGCTCGCTAGCAATCCTGCGGGCTTCCTCACGTGCCCTTTCCTGGCGCTGTGTCATGAACAGTTCGACGAGTGAGAGTGAGTATCGCAATAAGGTCGATATCGATGCGATAGCTAGAAGGACATATTCGAAACCAAACATAACCATGACGCCAGGCCGGGCCTCTGAGAGGATTGACTCGATGCAGTATTGCATCATGAAGATGTCAAAACCGACCGAGAGCAACAGGGAGCTCATCAAACGAGTGTGGAAGAGCCTTGGGTTCGCTGGCGGTTGTTGCTCCAGGAACTCGACTCGCCCTTCTCCAATCCACTGCCAAACCTTGCCCGCAAGCAAGCAGAGGAACATTGTGAAGAACCATATGCCGATATCGTCTCTGAAAATCGTCATAGCCAACAGTGTCTCACTGACAGCAAACCATGCCTTGTCGTACAGCTGCTCCGTCTCGATGGGCCGGAGAGGTCCGTAGAAGAGCCGCTGTAATCCATAGCCAACGCTCGCAGCCACGATGAGCATTAGGTTGACCAAGAACATCAAAGAGCCGGTACTCTGAGAAATGTAGACGGCGGCCGAATAGAAGTTTGGACGCTCATAGTACGCGCGCATAAGCACGATGTTGGCCATAACGGCCGAGCCCTGGGCGGGTGAGCATTGGCATGTACTGTCAGTGAGGGGGAGGCGTTTTTACCGTAACGTAGAGCTTAAGTCGGCCCATCGTGCTGTATCGAGGCGATCGGAAAACTAACAAAGACTGTGTGCCCCCATCTGAGAGTTGAGAAGTCCCATACACGAAGTGGTGATAGTGTCGCGTTGCGGCAATGCTTACATTGGTGAAGGAAACGTGGTCGGAGTGGGAACTCTCGTGATTGGCTGCGTCGGCGATGACGTTGGTCCGCCGCTAGCCCTTAGCATTGGCATTGCGACACCCATCTTTCTCGGCTATACAGCCTCTGGGCCTACGCATGAACATATGTCACATGTGTAAATACCGCGCTGGGCATTGTTGGTGATACCATGTTCCTGCTACTCATGGATGTTCTCATGGATGTTCTCATGCATTATCTCGCGCACCAATTCGGCATAGCCGTCGAATGTCATCCGGTACTGCCCTAGACCAATAGCACACGGTTCGGGCATTCCATTGAAGCAACCCGTCTCTCCCCACGATCGTTCCTGTGAAGCGGCTGCACTTCCGCAAGCCATCTCCACAAAATGCAAGTATTTCCCTGCTTTTTTACCGGCACCGTTGCGCCATCTGGGCTGCGTCCGCATGGCGACCTGGATCTCGGGAGGTTACTCGGTCGCAAAGGACTCCACACTTTCCAAGGTCCGTTCTCGGTGATTTAAGCCCTACGCTATGTTGTGGCTTGAAGAAAACTTTTCTTCATTATGAACTAAATCCAGACATCACAAGGACAATCGGAGAGATACCCACGTCTTGAGGTTCGTCACGGTCTATTGTGCCGCTGTGAGGAAGGAAAATACATGATGCGGTCACCAACCCGCCCAAACAAAGTTCGGGAATACGGCCGCCTTCTACCACATGTGGAGAAATATGGGGCTCAAGCATGGCAACTATGCGGGGATCCTTCCAGGCTAACGACTGCATCCTGGTTCTCATAGTATCTGCCCAATCAACACTATTGACTCGTAGCCCCAGAACGTGTACGCACCAAGACTGTCTGAGCTACGACGAGATGGCCTTGGATCTCACTAGTATGATCGTATACCAGGTCAGGCAAGTGGGGAGTTTTAGTCCGCCAGGAACAAATATGTATATAAGGGTCTGCATTCCTGCTGTGAAGTTTCGGTATCGAACGGCCAGCCCATTATCCCGGTATGTTCTCGTTGCCTCCAAAGTGTGGTTCAAGCTTCCTTTACGTATCCTCTGTTCGAAAACCAGATACTATGAACAAAGCTACGAGATAGAGCTTTTATGTACGAAGCGACTAACTATCTACAGTGTCGATATCATCCACCTCTGAGCACGATGTTTCGCTCTTCCCCTCTTCTGAGCCTTGCACTCGGCACACTGTCTGCTGTCGGTGCACAGGAATTGCCCGCTGTGCTAACTGCAGACATTATCCAGGGTTTGGGTAACAACACCCTCTTCACAAGATGGCGCCCGACCTACCATTTCAGTGGGCCCGCTGGATGGCTAAATGACCCAAGCGGTATGCTGTACGATCCTACGACAAAAATGTACCATTTGCATTACCAATGGCACCCCAACCACGTGAACTGGGGCAACATCTCTTGGGGCCATGCCACCTCCAAGGATATGATCACATGGACTGATGTTGGAGGCTGGGAAAATGACCAAGCTCAGTCTCTCGGCACTGGACCCAGGGCTGATTCCCGAAACTCGAGCTACTACGGTTTGGGCATCTTTTCCGGCAGCGGCCAGCCGTACAACCTCCAGGGTGAGCAGGACGGTACGCTTATCAATTTCTACACTTCGGTACAGCATTTGCCTACCAACTGGGCTCTACCTTATATCCCCGGAACTGAGACGCAGAGCATTGCCATTTCCAATGATGGTGGTGAGACTTGGGAGCAGTATGCTGGAAACCCCATCTTGTCCCACCCGCCA